ACACCACTTAACCCTTCAAGGGAGGAAGGTGATATGTTAAAAAATCTTTAAAGTTGAGTTAGAAATATACTGTAAAAGAAATACTTAAAATGATATTTGTAGTGCTATGAAAAGCTACACATGTATTTTATTATGCATACAGTCCTTAGAAATTACTAAATTGTTTCTGCTTTATACTTTCTTGGTGATTATTTGACTGTCACAGTCACACACTTTTAGGTTTTTTTGTTTTTAATTCCCTCATGAATCTGATCTGGATTAAAAAAAAAACATATCTGCATTTGTTAGTAATGCAGCTTCTACATGTTCCTACAGAGAGTGGCAAAGGTAAAAATGGTCCATGGAACTCAGGAAGCCCTTTCCAGGATACTTGAATTTGACTGAACCAGTGAAAGTGTGATTTTAATGAAGTGTTTACTAGCTACGTAGAAGAGATATGCTTCACATTTCACATTGAATGGGTGAGGCATTTGTTTCTATGGAAGGCATCATTAATGATGACCGTATCATGGGTAGCATGGGCCTTCTATGTCACCAGTGGTGACATGGGCATTACAGTATTAGGTGTTTATGTCATAGGTGTCCAGATTACCCCTCCTGAGTACTGAAGATAAAATACCAAATCAAGAGGAATCTTGAGAAATACTTAGGGGTTAAGACAGGTAGCATTTTGACCATAGCACAATCGAGGTTGAGGTTGGAGCAGCCTTTTTCAACCAGGGAGCCCAGGCACCCTGGGGTGCCTTCAAGTTTTTTCTTGGCAAAATGCCTACAAATTACTCAAAAATTAAATACAAGCCAGCAGGTGGATCAAGCCTGCCTTTTAGTTACACAAAGTCATAGGTTTTCATTGTGAACCATTGCAACCTTCTAGCCACCAGGGTCCTAACAACCAATAATGTCATTGGTTGATAAGGAGGGTACTTGCACAGCATCTTTGTTTGCACCTCTCCTAATCCATCAGCACTGGGGTCACATTAGCTAAGTGAGGTGGACAAACTAAAGGAGAAGAGAAACATTGGAATAGTACTCAGTACCAGTGTACAAAGGTGCATTTGTTTCCTAAGAATATATCACCTATAACTTTGGGTGTCCTATGTGTGTGGATGTTACTGCATTATGTAAAACTATTCATTTTGTTTACATTTTAGAATGGGGTGCCTCAAGATTGTGCAGAATTTTTAAAGGACTACTTGACTGAAAAAAATTTGAGAAACACTGGGCTGGAGGCATAAAGTATCAAATGGTTAATCAAAAGTCAGATTGGGCAGTTTAAACACAAAACCTTTTTTTCACAAGCACTTGTTCTATACATCGGTCAGCCTGTTTTATTGTAGACTTGGTTTTTAAAACAGGGTTATGTTTGCATACTACATAAAACCCTAACCTACTATATGAATATTATGATATGCTAAAGCAGCAGTTGTCTAGTTTCTTTCACATGGATTTCATTGGGTACCCCAGATGCAATGCAAGAACTAAAGTATTCCTAAATGGGTTCCAAAATGAATATTCTATGCACATTTTATGTTAATTTCATATGAAAATATATTGGTAAGAAGCCCATTCTGCTGGTGCATTGTCTTGACAGCCATCCTGAGCTGGTCAGACATATTGGGTGCAGCCCTAAATTGGGCAGTTGGTTACAATTCAGTCATCCGTAAGGCACTTGTTTGAAGTTCTCCTGAATCCTGCCTTGCCTGTTGCCTCCTCCTATTTTTCTATTGTTCAATCTCAATACCCTATCTGACCAGCTGGTTTGACTCTGATCTTTCTTTGTCTGACCCTCTGTCTGCATTGGTCTAACCTTTGCATGTTTGAACTGTCCTTACTTATCATCTCTGTTTAGATTCCATAACCTGGCACTTAGGAACCTTGGGGAACTTGTGTATCAAGCGAGCACATAATGCTTTTTCAAAAGGGGCTGCTAAAGGTGAAAAAAATCTGTAGTAGCAGTCTTTGAGTCTGAACAAGTGGCCAAATCTTACTGTAAAATGCACATTAATTTCAACAGAAAGTACTGCAATGTACCATGCCCAACAAGAATGTTCTGTTTACTTTGTCCAGAATCTGCCCTACACTGTCCACTCTACCCTCTTTGTGCACATTTTGCCTCCGTTGGTTCACACCAATGTCTACCCACTATGTATATACCACCCTCTATCCATTTGGGCCAACAATTGTCCAAAAAGATGCATACTTGTGTTCACCTACTTGGTGTCAGTGCAACACTTTCACAAACGTTCAAACAATCTGCTAAATTCACACTTGGATGTGAGATGTGGGAAGACAAATGCCTAATGCCACCAACTTATTCAACTTGTTAAGGTTCTCTGGGCTCCCATTTCGATTGGCTGTGGAAAAACTGGACCATGCATGCATTCTGCAAGGGTAGCGGAAAGGTCTCACCAGGGGACTGTGTGCCATTGTTTTGGAATAGCTATAGATATGGGGGCTGAATTACTAAAGAAGTTGAACATCTTTACTAAAAAAAATTGTGTGAATAGTCATTTCAATTATCCAGTCATGTGAAAAGCATCATGATTAGGTATGGAAAGTAAACAGAAATTTACCTTTCACACAACTGGATATTTGAAGTGAATATTTTTTTTTTTTTCAGTAAAGATTCTCAGCTTCTTAGTAAATCAGCCTCATAGTAGCATAATCATTCACAAGATGGTTGTATGCTGTCGTTTTTTTTAAAGTCTTTTCTTAGTATGATATTGTAAAGAACACACTGTTTTTTTCATACAACCAGTGAGCTGAAGGAAAAAAAAACAGATTTGTGCATCCACACAAGCGAGTTGGATATAGGAATCCTCCCTGCTGTGCTATTGTATTCTGACAGCGGGGACTCCTCTGATGTCAGACTACACTAATCAGCAGCTGCAGCCATTGACAGCAGATCGTTGATCAAAGAAGCTTTTTTAGTGGGACCTCAACATAAGCCTATCTAATGATTGGCTTCTGTCAAATAGGGAGGATCACACACACACGCACATTGAAATGCAGCTGGTTCCTGCTGAAACAGGCACATTTCGATCTGTGTGTAGACATCTTAAGGCAATGGAATAAACCACTTTGCAATATTATTATTATTATTACAGGTACTTATATAGCGCCATCAATTTATGCAGCGCTTTACATATATATTGTACATTCACATCAGTCCCTAACCCTCAAGGAGCATACAATTAAAAGTATATAGGCATGTATTACTTATCCTGTATCCTTATTACCTACTGCATGTTGCTCCTTTATGCTTGTAAATGCTTTTGAAATGATTTATTTAGCATAACAGGACTATTGGTAAGGGGAACAATGTCTATATTTATAGAATCCTCTGAAAAAGGACTGTACAATGTAGGTAAATGTAAGGGACATGTCAGCGGATGAGTGCTTGGCTTAAAGCCCAACTCCAGCCAAACTTTTTGGATAGGTCTGGAAAAAGTAGATACTCCTGATAAATTTGTACTGCAGTTCATGATCCTGTTATGGAGATTTAACCTTGCTTCCTGTTCCTGTGACAACAGAATGGCCCAATAGGATGTGAGAACAAATTTACCCAGTGGAGACGCAGACTACCATAAACACTTGATAGGTCTATGCCTTCCACTCTCTGTCCAAAACTAAAAAACAAAACAGTCCTTTTGCTTATATTGGGCTTTGATGATACATAGGAAGCAGTTATGGCCAAAATTTGATCTAGCTGAACAGTAATACAGTAGTAATATTACTATCACATGCCAGAGCACTTCTGCCCTCATGATGCCAATAATTGCACCTATGGAGAGCCATTCTGTTAACATATCATTCACTGCAAAAATACTATTGTGGTCCAGACGCCAGAGTCATGTCCACCACTGCCTAAATCCCAGAATTATCGTGTATATGATGTTAGTCACTGTGCACATACAGAATATGCTTTTTGCTCCAGGAGCAAGCTAGGGTGAAAAAAATATTTATTTCTGTTCCTTCTTCATAAGAAGGTGTAGGAGGTATCTAGAAGCACTTCTCAATTCCCTAAGCATGCTGTTTAGCCTAGGTTCACCCCTTGATTGGTCTGGGAAAAATGTTAATCAATGTCCCTGTATTAGCATGCCCTGGGTACATGCCATAAAAAAATATTTATTTCTGTTCCTTCTTTATAAGCAGGTGTAGGAGGTATCTAGAAGCACTTCTCAATTCCGTAAGCATGCTGTTTAGCCTAGGTTCACCCCTTGATTGGTCTGGGAAAAATGTTAATCAATGTCCCTGTATTAGCATGCCCTGGGTACATGCCATAAAAAAATATTTATTTCTGTTCCTTCTTTATTAGCAGGTGTAGGAGGTATCTAGAAGCACTTTTCAATTCCGTAAGTGTGCTGTTTAGCCTAGGTTCCCCCCTTGATTGGTCTGGGAAAGTCAATGTCCCTGTATTAGCATGCCCAGGGTACATGCCATAATGTGTGCATATTAAAACATGCCACACTGCTTACTCACTTATAGTTGAGCTCTACTTTAGATGAGAAATAGAATAATGCCATAATATGCATTTAAATAATTTTTGGGAAAAGGGTTTACCTTGTCTAATCACATGATCAGTTCCTGTGTTGAGTAAAGAGAAATTCGGCAGTGAGTCAATCACAGGAGCAGGAAATGGCAGTGTTCCCATGGTTTCAAGTCAGCAGCAAAAACTATATTGGCATTTCTGAAAATTGCAGCTGCTTACAGATTGAAATATAAGGTTATTTTAAACAAACTGCATTACAAAATAGCTTTTTACGCAGTTATATACATTAATTTTTTTTATTAAATTGGAATTTTAATTTACATATGATATCAGGAAGTATTATTTGCAAAATAAAGCTAATATGTCTTCAATGGTATTCCTGAGCAAGGCACCTAAGAGCAATACTCAGCAGCACCTATTTTATATGATATTTAAAATCAGTTTGTAGTTTTTCGTACCTGAAATTTTCTTTCTGTCCTGGCTGTTTTTGTAGATCATCCTGAATTCCATGCACAAATATCAGCCTCGGCTCCACATAGTTAAAGCAGATGAAAATAATGGATTTGGGTCCAAGAACACTGCTTTCTGCACACATGTCTTCTCGGAAACAGCGTTTATAGCAGTCACTTCCTACCAGAACCACAAGGTAAAGGACAAAATGTTTAAATCCACATGCTCCTCATACCATGAAAGTACAGCTGGCCACTGACAGTAAGATAATGATTGTCTATATACTATTATTTTTTACACTGGGCACACTTAGATAGCTTGTTTTGTCGGTGCAGTGTGATGCGACGGCAGAAAACATACAGAGTCCCTGATTGCAGAAAACAATATATTGCAGAACTTGTAAAACAGTACAACAGCCCGGCAGGGACGCACATTCAACAGGGGTTAGCAAGGAATAGGCCTGAGCTGGATAAAGCACCTGTCAAGGACAGTGGAGTACAGCTTGGCTGGTCCAACCCAAAGGGCAGCTTGCTGAGTTGCAGACAAAGGCCCTAAGCTTTCCCTACTCCACTGGAACCTCTCACTATTGCTAGTGCTGTCCCTGACAGACAGGAATCCTGTCCCTGTGCTATGGAGTCACTAAATGTGCGCCAAAACCCTGGGGAAGGGACACAAAAAGACTCTGCATGACCCAAGATAGGCACAGGGTCACCTAGAATCAGTGTAGCCAATCAGAACACTATCCTAGGGGTTCAAGGGAATCATAGAGAAACACAGTTTTTCTTGACTTCCTTCCTCAGCTGAATTGCCATTCTGGACGAGCGCCACCTACAGTAGAGAATGTAGACTGCACCTGCCTACAAGATGTTGGTGAAATTAGCTAAAAAGACCAATGAAAATGGTATTATATGATTATATGATTCTGCATGTGACACTTATGAGCTGAAAGAAATAAAATTCTAGGGATTTGACAAATCCACAGGCCAGTGGGTTATAATGTGGTCTTATTTCTGCTGTTGTTCAACTGTAAGCTGATTTTATATGAAAAAAAAAACACACACTAATCCAGCGCTTATCTAGGATAGTCAAATTGGTATTTTTCAGTTTAAAAAAATGAAACTGTCAAACTATAATGCTTGCAAACTAGTCCCGCTAAACAGCAGGTAAAGAGTTAATGAAGCTAGCATATAAAACCACCATTCCATAATTGCCAAGCCTCTCTCCAGCTTATGCACATTTTACAGTTTTATGGAGAGCAGGGAAGCCAACCTGTTTTTTTTTTTACTTGTGTAACATCTGTATACTGTATACATAAAGTGAAGAATTTGCCCATGTGGAGAAATCTTTAGATAAAAAATACACCCTGATCCTTGGAAAGAATGGCATCTGCTCATTTTCAATATAGGTAGGAGAGATAGATATAGTACTGCTTGACCTTATTTGCAACTAATATATCTTTCAAAATCCTTTTAGTCTTTTATCCTTGAAGTGTGCATGTGTGTGGAAATATGTCTGCAAATAAAGACTAGATGCAATCATTTTCCTCAATTTGAGTGCTAAAATAATTTATCCTGAGTAACAAAATTAGAACTCGGATTTTTTAGAATAATTTGCATGATTAAGTGTATAAAAGTCAAACTGAACCAGGACAGGATCTAGTTTGTCTGATCTGGGGGTGCAAAGAATAAGTACACTTTCATTTTTCATTTTATCCTTGTGGCTATGTGCACCACATGGGCTGGACTTCGGTTCTTCATTAAAGCTTCCGCCATGCTGATTCCACTGGTCCTGGAGGGGCAAGACCAAAATCTGGGGGCACAGCCCACCCCAGCAAACTCCTAGATCTGGACCTGAACTGAATCCCAGGTGAAAAACACCATTTACTTATTAAAGTAAACTAAAGGGAGCACCCAGAAAAAAGCACCAGGGTGGACATAAGATCCAATGCTATCAACAACTACCAGTGTCCATGGAAGACACTGAGAGATCAGGTCCTTGCTTGGAGAGGGAGCAATGGAAACTTCTCCCAACTAATTCTGTAACTCAGAAGGTTCCTCTAAGGAGATGGAATACTGAGGATCAGCAGAATTTCCCTGAGGAGGAGTGGGAATACCCTTGTAGGGAATAACTCCCAAAGGCAATTTCCTACTAGATAGGAACAGTGCCTACCAGAGTGCAGAGAAAACAGGGAGCTCCGAGTAAAGGCACAGCTATGTGTAGAAGCATGGGCAGCTGAAATAGATGCTGTTTTCAAGTAATTAGCCTTTAGCTTAGGTTGTGCAAACATCCCCCACTTGTAGAAATGGGGGCACACCTTCTTGCTGAAGGCTTTTATACCTATGATCTGAGCAAAAGTTAAATTCCAGGGATCTGTGAGTATGCACTGCTAAGACAGAAGAGGTGGAAGGATGAGTTTCTCTAACTTTTCTGCAGTTCTCCTGCACTCAGGTAGGAGCCTTCTGTAGCCACCCAAGGCATTGCTAATGAAAATGTCAAGAGTCGGTCCAGAGAGATGATGTCCCTGAAAGACTAATCAGCTGTGCTCACTAGGTTCCTACACACATAGCTAGAGTGCCTTATGCATTTGTACAGATATCTGTCTTATGCAAAACACAAGTTCAGAGGCTTTAAATAGATTGACATAGCTAAAGCACAAGGCTGTAGACATCTGCTCCAACCAATGTTAAATAACGTGACCTACCAAAATGGCAGAAGGATTATCTGTAAAGAGTTTATTCCTTCCTGACATGGTTTAACAGATCAGAGTTACTGCCAACACAGAAAAAAGAGCCAAACCAGTTAACATAAACTGGGATCTAGGGAGGGAATTCAACTTTCTATCAGTGAGGTCATCAAAGGTAAGTATACCTTTTATTTGAGTGGTATGTGGCTCTCTGGAGCATCCACATTGGTCTCAAGTGGGGCTTAGGACCTTTCAGGTTGTTTCCAGTCCACAGAAGTCCACTAACAGCAGGTGTAGTGAAAAGGCCTTTGCAGCTGCAGGGGCTCTAAAAAACCCAAAGACGATCTTCCAAATGCAGGATGATATGTACTGTACTTTATATCTTAGTCCACTGCAGGAGACAGTCACAGGAAGGTCAGGACTAGATCCTGTCGGGAATGGGGCTAGAGCATGCTTAGAACCCCGTGGACAGAATGATCCAGTAGCTAGGCACAAACAGTTGGGAAGTCCCTACTGATCATGGAGGGGGTCTCAGCATACCTGACAAAGCTGAAATAAACTCCACAGATGAAGATCCTAAAACTGTAGGGGTTCCATGTTCTAGATTATAAGCAACAGTTCCATCTGGGTATACCTGGAACATTCCCCCAGGACCATTAGGGGAGCATGGACAGGCAGCGGTGGTGGTAACAAAATCACTATAGGAGGGCAGTGGAATGGAATCAGAGAGCCACTTTCTCTAGACCAGCCTTTCTAAGCTTAGGTGCTGCTTGAAGTTGTCAGGGGTTCTGTGGCATCCTGGTTGAAAACGGCATTCAGTTCTGACTGAGCTGCCATTCCTCTGCTGAACTGTACATGTAAATGGGCACAGCGGAAGCTCAATCAGGGGAACACTGAAGTGCAGAGCTGTGGAAGGGGAAGTGCAGTACCTAGCAGTGAGAGTGCAGGTACAATACTGTAAGGCTGTGCGTGCATATATATGTGTGTGTGGGTATTTGTGTGTGTGTATGTATGTGAATTTGTGTATACATGTATGTATGTGAATGTATGTGAGTGTATGTATGTATGTACATTACTTTTAATCCTGACCCCTAATCCTGTATGATCAGAACTGCTTTTTTTAGTGTTCATTCATATTAGTGGCAAGGACTGCAGCTCCTCTGAAAAACTGATCCATGCTCAGATTGGTTTGTTGCCTCCTCACTGCCTGTTTTAACTCCCTAAATGCAGCATCACCATGCTGCAACCGCATGCACTGCAAGTAGTTGCGGGGTGGTTGCCATGCAGCCCCATTCTCCTGGGGATATACTTCCAGTAGTGGCCAAAGCCTCTGCAGCTAAAGGGGGAGAACGAGCCTTTGGTTCACATCGGTGTAGCTGCGTACTGCATTTAGGGCATCTCATACATTTCAGTGGGATGCCCTACCCACAGAAATGCAGAAAAAAAAGTCCCCGACCCTTTTTTTAAAATTGCATCTTGTCATCAATGCATGGGGATACAACTAAGATTTAATGATTCCGTTGCGCATTTGTTACAGAGCAGCACGTTTATCTGCATGTCAGGGATGTGTGCGATTTTGCGCTCGTCCCAAACATGCAGTAATGTAAACCGAACCATAGACTGGGTTTCCTCAAGACTGAAAATACTTTTCAAGGGCTCCGTTAATTAAAAAAAGGTTGAGAAACACTGCTCTAGACTCAATGTCACTAAATAGAATGTGGAACACTGGGTCACACCAGAGGCTGTGCCACAGCTCTGGACCTGAGGCTATTTGAGGCTAACACAATACAAAAGGTCTGAAAAACACCAATATGTAGGACACAGTGCACAAAGGTCACATTCCATGCTAGCCCTGCAATCCTCCAGTCCAGCATTGTCTGGGTCCAACCTAGATAGCTGCTTTGCAGAGACTAGCTCGAGCAGCTTTTTAGAAGTGACTGAAGAAAAAAATATCTACTGTGTGCAAAGTATCTTGATTGAATTAAAGAAATCAAATGAAGAAATAAGAATAACAAGGACAACAAAAATATAGTTAGGCATTTTTCTCAGTTCTAGCTGAGGGAAAGGTTTCTAAACTCCCTAGACACTAGCAAAAAATTGAGACATGGTGGTTAGAGGTGGTGTTATATGGTGTCTGGCCTTTAACTTTTTTTTTCCATTTGCCAGTGTCCAAATCTCATTTAGAATATAACTGTGTTTCTGCATTCCTGTGTCCCTTGATGGACAACAAAGGAATGATATTTCTACTTGAAATGCTTTTCATTCAGTGAAACCTCTGTCTTTGATCTAACAGAATAGAAGTACAAAACATTCTATTGCCTGAAGTGCAGCTTTTGGTCCAGTATTATTCCCAAATACACCAGACTAAAAATGTAAAATATACTTCAGGAAGATACATTCACCGCACTTTGATATTTCCCAAATAATTGTTATTTCCAAGAACTCACATCACCCATCTGAGCTCCTCCCTCTTAGAGGAAGAAGCTCAGGTGGGTGACATGACTTCTTTGAAT